GGTGCAGTTGTCTCTCTACAATGATTGCAGTCTGTGGGTCAGAAAGCTGAGGATCCAGTTACAGAGTGCACAGCCGAGATTAAGGTCTCGGAGTCTTGAGATCAGTCTGGAGGGGATAACTGTGTCAAAGGCAGACCTTTAGTTGATGAGCAGGAGTCTGACGTGGGATTGATCATTGCCCAGACGTTCCAGGGATGAGCGCAGGGCTAAGGAAATAGCGTCCACTGTGGACTTGCTATGTTAATAGACAAATTGTGGGGGATCAAGGCAGGCTGGACGACGAGAGCTGATGTGGGCCATGGCCAGCCTCTTGAAACACTTCACGATTATGGAGAAGGTCAGAAATCACATGACACCAGAAAAAGTCCAATTGGTTTATTTGAAAACACAAGCATTCGGAGCCTTGCTCTTTCTTCAGGTGTTAGTGACAGAAATAGTATCTGACACAGAAGTTATAAGTAAAGAATCAAAGGGTCACACCACTGATGAGGATGTATTAAACAAACCCAAGATGCTGTTAAATCGTTAATCAGTTGGAAGGTTTTAATTGATTAATACGTACATGTAAATCCCCGGATTCCTTTCAAGTCACGGTCTTGAGAGAACTAAAGGCTTTACCAGCATAAAGAAGGGGTGACATTTTAGGTCAGACAATGCATGTTAGGTGTGAGGCCTTGTTTGGAATCTGTTTATGTTTTAGTTTGGAGACAGACTGGTTTTATTTCTAAAGTAGGAATTTATAAAATGCCACATTTTTGTAGTAGCTATAAGGAGAGGTTGGACAAACTTGAATTGTTTTCGCTAGTTTTGAAAGCTGAGGGGCAACCTGATGTAAGTATATAGATTATGAGAGGTATTGAATAGTGTGGAGTCTTTTTCCCAGGATTGAATTGTCAACACTAAGGGATATAGGTTCAAGATGATCTGGGAAAAGTTTAAAGGTGATGTGTGAAAAAGGCTTCTTTATTCAGAAGGTGGCAGGTGCCTGGAATGTGCTGACAGGGGAGTTGGTAGAAGCAAATATGATAGCAATGTTTAATAGCAGATAGGGAATAAAGGGCTAGGGACCATGTGCAGGCAGGTGGGATGAGTTTAAAATGACATTATGGCCAACACAGACATTGTGGGCCAACAGACCTGTTCCTGTGCTGTACTGTACTATGTTCTATCTCCTTGAAAATTTCCCCCTCTCACTTTAAACCTATGCCTCCTTGTACCTGACATTTCCACCCTGAGAAAAAGGCTCCGCCTATCCACCTTATCCATGTCTCACAATTTTATATACTTCTATCAGGTTGCTCCCTCAGCCTCCAATGCTCTAGTGAAAATGATTCAAGTTTGTCCAACCTGCTTTATACAGCTAAACATGACCCGGCAACTTTTATACTTAATGCCCCAACCAATAAAGGCAAGCATGCCATACAGCTTCTTTATCACCTAATCCATTTGTGTTGTTGCTTTCAGGGAACTATGGACTTGCATCCCAAGATGTGTCTGCCTGGCCATTTATTGTATACTTCCCCCTTGCACTTCATCTCCCAAAATGCATCACATCACACTTATCAGGATCAAACTCCTTTGGCAATCTCTTTGCTCAATTTTCCAAATGATCTATATGCTGCTGTATTCTTTGATATCCTCCCTTACTATCCATAACTCCACAAATTTTCATGTCGCTTACAAACATATTAACCCAGACCACCCACTTTCATCCAAATCGTTTATATAAATTACAACAGAGGTCCCAGCACTGAGTCTTGTGGAACACCAGTGATCACATACCTCCAGTGGAAAAATCACCCCTCTACAACTACCCCATCTTATATAGATCATAGATTCCCTACAGAGTGGAAACAGGCCCTTCGGCCCAACAGGTCCACATAGACCCTTGGAGCATCCCACCCAGACCCACACCACCATAACCCACCTAATCTACACATCCCTGAACACTATGGGCAATTTAGCATGGCCAATCCACCTAGCCTGCACATCTTTGGACTGTGGGAGGAAACCCACACAGACACGGGGAGAATGTGCAAACCCCACAAAGACAATGACCCGAGGGTGGAATTGAACCCTGGTCCTCGTGCTGTTAGGCTGCAGTGCTAACCACTGAGCCACCGTGCTATGACCAAGCCAATTTTGTATCCAACTTACCAACTCACTGTAGATCCCATGTGACTTAACCTTCTGGACCAGCCTAACACAAGGGACCTTGCCAAATGCTTTAGCAAAATCCATGCAAACAGTATCCACTGCTCTACCCTCAATCATCTTCATCACTTCCTCTAAACAAAACTCAATCAAATTTGTGAGCCAAGACCTCCCGACACCAAGCCATGCTGTCTATCCCTAATAAGTAAATTATTTTCCAAATACAAGTAAATTCTGTCCCTAAGAATCATCTCCAATAATTTCCTTACCACTATGAGGGCGGCATGGTGGTTCAGTGGTTAGCACTGCTGCCTCACAGCACCAAGGACCCGGGTTCAACTCCACCCTCAGGCGACTGTCTGTGTGAGTTTGCACATTCTCCCCATGTCTGCAAGGGTTTCCTCTGGGTGCTCCAGATTCCTCCCGCAGTCCAAAGATGTGCATGCTAGGTGGATTGGCCATGCTAAATTGCCCATAGTGTTCAGGGATGTGTAGATTAGGTGGGTTATAGCAGTATCGGTCTGAGTGGGATGCTTTAAAGGTTGTGTGTGGACTTGTTGGGCCGAAGGGCCTGTTTCCACACTGTAGGGATTCTATGATCTATGATTTCTCAAATCTGAAACTATCATAGGCTCACTGGTCTGTGATTTCCTGGATTATCCCTGTTGCCCTTCTTTAAAAAGGGCGTAACATTGACTCCTCTCCATTCTTCTGGGGCGTCACCTATGGCTAAAGAGGATTATTAATGTCATGTGCTGTTTCTTCAGCACTGTCAAGATCATGCACTGGCCAAACTCTAAATTGACTCTTGTAGCTCACTAAACTCCACTAATTAGACTGTGAAAGCATCACTAGCATTGATAATCAAATTTCAGGGATTTCATTCTAACAACTTCCTGCATGTCATAGTGTCCACAGTAGAGCCTTTAGGAACCACCTTAACATAACAGGCAACTTAATCTCAAACTTCTCCCCAAGGAATGCAATGGCAAACAAGGCATTCTCCCTTCTCAAACATGAAGGTGCCCTCACTGCATAATGTACCTTCTTCTTTACTGTTACAGACAATAAATTGACTATTTTAATCAACATGAAACCTAGGCTTGAAATGCGAAGTTGACTTGGAGATCACAGAGAACCAAATATGGAGTGGAGCTGATCGAGGGCAGACAAGCAGTGAGTGCTCAGTGGAGAGAACATTTTGCAGAAGCTGTCAACCAAGATTCTGTATTCAATTTGAATGACTTCAATTTCATTCCTCAATATCATATCCAAATCAGGCTCCCAGCTACCAAGTCAGCAAGAAAGTTGACAGCCCCATGTGACAGTTGAAAAATAAAAGATTCTGAGAAAGGGTCACCAGACCCGAAACATTGACTCTGATTTTTTCTTCACAGATGCTGCCAGACCTGCTGAACTTCCCAGCAACTTCTGGTTTTGTTCTGAAAAACAAAAGGTCTCTGGAGTAGCTGGAATCCCTGGCAATATTCTGAAATTCAGCAGAGATACACTCCTGGTACACCTGCACAACCTCATCTAGGAAGAGGAATGCATGCCAGGGGATCTCAGGGATGTTAATATTCACCATACAAAAACGAAGTCACATAAAAGCCTTATTTTACTGCTAGAACTTTTGCCTCTGAGCTACAGAGCTGTGGGTTACATCTTGGGTTTGTAACTTTAGTCCGACTCCAATTCAGTACTGAAGGAGTGTTGTGCTGTGGGTGGCACTATCAAACCAGAAGAGATGTCAAACCAGGGTGCCATTTGCCTGGTTTATGAATGGATGGACGCAATAGATCCCATGCTACTATTCATTGAAGTGCAAAGAAGGAGGCCCATATTTATTCTTCAATCTGTATGCTATTATGCACCCTGTACTGCAAAAATGAGTACACTTTAAAAGTATTTCATCTGTCTGGTCTTTCAGACAAGACTTGACACAGTACAATCTGCCTTCTGAATATAAAGAGTCCCATGACAATGTGAAGAACAGCACAGGTCTTCCAACGTTTGCTGATCATGCAGCCCTGAACCAATTGGTTATTTGCCCACTATCTACTGTGGAACCTTGAAGTGCATAAACTGATGCCATGATTCCTACAATTACCACAATACACACAGTGCCACAGCACCATCTCTCTCAACCCCATTGACTGCCACTCAACTGCACAACTGTTTCATTGGTTGCAATTGGGACATGCATTTTGAGCTTATTAAAAGTTTAAATACAATGCAAGTTTGTTCTTTCATATCTGCCTGAATTTAGACTCTGTAAAGAGTAACAACTTCAAACACGTTCGGGCACGACACTCAACGCTAGTTTTAAGGAATGCCAGTGTGTTGTGGTTTCAGGTCCATTGCTATAACTAAGCACAATGGTCTCTGCGTGAAGTACAAGTGTCTAAACATAGGGGATGCTCTGTGCTGGACACGTTGTCAGGACCACACTAGGTCTCCACGGTTGGAAGCAGACTGTGTTGTATACCTTGGTTGGGGTCTCTCCCTGCGGTGGGGGTGAACCTGTCAGATCCTCAAAGTAACGACACTCCTTGCTGGGTCTCCATTGGTAGCTCTGTGCCAAAGCCTCAGGGTGGGAGTTCTCCAAGCCGGCACCTCTGAACGGGTTCTGCCCGGGTTAGGACTCCTGTGTAAGGACAGTTTGCAGTTGTGCCGGGGCGTGAACACTGCACGTCAATCCCTACGGTAAGGACTCACCGTTCTGGGTGGGAGCTCTCCAACCTCCATCCCGGGTCTACCTGTGCTGAGCTCCCACTCGGAGTTGCTATGAGTCACACACACTCACATAAAGATCCCAACCACCGCCCCTCCCTTTTGCCACTTACCCAGAAGAAAGTGGAGTAAACGATGAGGGTAATTTTGAGGCAGATGTAGTTGAAGCGCTGGCAGTGGTTGCGCGGTCCCGTCCTGGCCCCCCTACGCGCGCGCTCCATCCCGAGCACGCGCTGCGCTCCGGCCGTTGGTCCGTCGCGCGACCACAACAAACATTGGTGGGGAACATGAGATAACCCCAGTTCCGGTTCACCTGCCGGCCGGCTCCGCCCAGCTTCACACACCCGCCCCGGTACACTCCCATCAACCAACGGGCGTAATCTCTCAGATGGACATTTCAACAACCAATCAAAGGCAGGTGAAGCAGCAATCTCAGGAGACGCCTGTGAAGTGGAGCGAGCGGATCCTCGCGGCAGGGTTTAGTATTGCACCTGGGCGAAGGAAGGGCTGAGTGTTCGGAGTAATGAGTACGTGAAAGGCAGATGAGATTTACAAATAATTCTCCTCATAAGGTACCTCCTCAAACATCCTTTCATGTGATTGATGTGGGAGGAAATGTGTGGTGGAAATTTTAGAGCTCATAAGGTTCGTGTTGGAAATTCAATTCGGAGGATTAGAGGAATGCTCAATCTCAAAGGGCGCTTTGCAAACGAAGCTAATGTAAGGTGAAGAAAACACACGAAGTATAGGACATTGGTGAGGCCTTTTCTGTGTCCAGTTCTGGTCACCCAGTTATAGGACTGGAGGGTTCAGAAGAGATTTACCAGGCTGTTGCTGCGTATGGAAGGTTTGGGTTGTAAGGAAAGGCTGGATAGGATGGGACTTTTTTCTACTGGAGGGTGGGAGGTTGAGAGGTGATCTTATAAAAGTTTAAAAAAATCATGAGAGGTATAGGTAGGGATAATGGTAGGTATCTTTTCCCTAGGATGGGGGATTTCAAGACAAGGGGGCACATTTTTAAGGTGAGAGCAGAGAGATTTAAGAAAGACATGCGAGGCAACCTTTTTATACGGAGAGTTCGCATGTGGAATGAACTTCCAGAGGAAATGGTGAAAGTGGGCACAATTACAACTTTTAAAAGACATTTGGATAAGTACATGAAAAGGAAAGGTTTGGAAGGATATGGGCCAGAAGCAGACAGGTGGGACTAGTTAAGTTTGGGATAATGTTCGACATGGATTGGTTGGACCAAAGGGTCTGTTTCCATGCTGTGTGACTCTGTGACTCCTTAAGTAGTTAGTGTTTGGAATGCACTGCCTCGAATTGAAGTGGTTAGAAGTTAAGTTGAGCATTTGGGGTATTGGGTGATTATTTAAAGAGAAACAAAGTGCAGGGCTCTGGGAAAAAGGCAGGAGATTGCTAGTAAGTCAAAATGCTCAGACAGTTGGGGCAGACACGATGGGCCACATGGCTTACTTCTCCACTATAACAATTCTATGATTCTGGGTGGCAAAGAAGTGGCAATCTCACGTGTCAAAGATGATTCATCCTTGCAGATGGCCCGGTGTTGGCTGTGAGTTCACAGATGACTTAGGATACGAACCAATCTTGGCCTTACAGGTTCACCCAATGAGAGAGCATTAGGTAGAGTTGGGAGCAGATTGTTGATTTGAGTAGTTTTTTCCATCTCAGTGACTGATCTTGTTAGAAAATCTTACCGTGAATCATCCTTCTAATTGCAACTGAACATCTGCCTCACAATGTTAATGGAACTTTGTGGAAGTTTTGTGATTGTTGTGAACACATTTTCTTTAGTCCCGTGTGATCAAACTGTCTGGCATATCTATTAATAGCTGCTTGAGCAGTTTTGTACCTGCTTGTGCAGTTTTGTGTCAGGCATTCTGATGACATGTGCAGTCCATATCAGTTTATTGTGTGAGACTATCCTAGTTTTGTCTGTCTTGGATGCTCAGGTTTGTTTTTTTAACCTCCCACATAAATCCCAAGATGCTTCTAAGGTGATGCAGTTCTAAAGTAAACTATATTGTTAACATATGGCATCTATAAGCTGTCCAAGCTTTAGCACTGACAGATGCATAGGGCAAACGCTGCTAGATGGACTTTTACTATAATATTGGGGCTGATATCATGATTCTCAAACTTGAGTGTGTGATTTACGAAGGAATCAAAAGTAGGCACACATGTAAAGTCCCAAAGCATATTACAACACCATAAACAAAATGTGGAATATAGGGACTCTGAATAAAATTAGATAAAAGTAGGGAATGAAATGGTACTCAATGATAGAAACACATAGAAGTCAGGAGTTGCTTTCGTAAAAAATAAACTGAAGTAGACAGTTCTGTGATAAAACTAGTTAGTATCTTATTGAATCTCTGATAGTTTAGAAAATACATATTATTGTGTATGAAAATAATAAAAAGCTTATCAGTTTTCTATTCTGCTTCTTTACCAAGAGGCATCTTTACTAATGAGTTATCTCTGTTTTGTCGAACTGATGAATGAGACAGATTTCTGGGGATATTTTGTTGATAGTTCTGAGCTAAAACATTTCTGAACATGGGGGACTAGATATTGCTAATTACTGCAAAGTAGGTGGCTCCATAGAATCATAGAATCCCTACAGTGTGGAAGCAGGCCATTCGGCCCATCAAGTCCATACTGACTCTCCAAAGAGCATCCCTCCCTGTCCCACACCCCCTACTCTATCTCTGTATTTCCCATGTCTAATCCACCTAGCCTGCACATCCCTGGACACTACAAATGCTATGGCCCCTGACAACATTTGGCAATGGTACTGAAGACTTGTGCTCTAGAAACTTGCCGTTCCCCTAGTCAAGCTCTTTCAGCTCAGTTACAACAGTGGCATCTACCTGATGTGGAAACTTGCCGAGGTGTGTCCTGTGCAGGACAAATCCGACCCGACCAGTTATCACCCCATCAGTCCACGCGCAATCATTACTAAAGTTATGGAAGGCATTATCAACATTGCTATCAAGCAGCACCTGCTCAGCAATAACCTGCTCACTGATGCCCGGTTTGGGTTCCACTAGTGCCGCTCAGCTCCTGACCTTATTACAGCCTTGGTTCAAACATGGACAAAAAAAAAGCTGAATTCCAGAGGTGAGGTGAGAGTGACAGCCGTTGACATCAAGGCTGCATTCGATCGAGTTTGGAATCAAGGAGCCCTAGCAAAACTGGAATCAATGGGGCAGAGTCTCCGCTGGTTGAAGTCATACCTGGCACATAGGAAGATGTTTGTGGTCACTGGAGGTCAGTTATCCTAGCTCCATTTTCTTTTTTTGTCTTCTCTCATTCTTCTTAAACAATCCAGAAATGTATCTGTTTGTTTCAACTAGAATCATTGGGAATCAGGGGAAACATCTTCGCTGGTTGGAGTAAAGAAAGATAGATGAGTGAGGTTGTTGGAGTTCAGTCATCTCATTTGCAGGAGTACCTCAGGATAATTACTATTCTGTTTATGTCAGCTACTTCATCAATGATTGCCCTCCATCAGAAGTGGGGATGTTTGCTGATGATTGCACAATGTTCAGCACCATTCATGACTCCTTGGATACTGAAGCAGTCTAGCCAAGATAGACAATAGGTGGGATGGCAAGTGGCAAGTAACATTTGTGCAATACAAGTGTCAGACAATGATCATCTTTAACAAATGCGAATCTAACTGTCATCCCTTGATATTCAATGGCATTATCGTTGGTGCATATATCGCACTATCAACATCCTGGAGTTTACTATTGACCAGAAACTGAACTGGACTAGCTGTACAAATGCTGTGGCTACAAGAGCAGGTCAAAGGCTAATAGGAATCCCGCATGAGTAATTCACCTTCTGACTCCGCAAAGCCTGTCCACCATCTACAAGGCATAAGTCAGGATTGTGATGGAATACTCCCCATTTTCCCGGATGAATGCAGCTCCAACAACAGTCGAGAAACTTGACATTATCCAGGACAAACCCCAGCTCCCCCCATCCAGCATGTGCACCACATCACAAAACGCACACACACGTGACCCCCATATACACAAAGATCCCCTGCACATACACATAACCAACCCCCATCCCATGCACACACAACACAGATACATGCCTCACTCCCACACCACTCCACTTCCATGCCCCTTACACACACGGATCACATGCATACACACACCCAAACGCATGAGCACACATTAATTCCCCTGCACACACACAACGCATATGTGCAAACCTCCCAACAAACACCTCCCTGCACACGAGCCACCCCCCAACACACACATGGCCCATGCACATATGCACTCCCTGCTCCACACTCATGTCCCCCCACCCCACACACACATGCACATGCACACACACAAGCATGTGTGCCTGTGAACCCAGACACACATGTGACCCCCCACATACACATATTCATGAATGCGCATGCATATGTGCACCACCCCATGTGCTTCCCACACACACAACCCTGCCACCTCATGGGCCTCCAACCCACACCAGCCCCTCCACACATCCCACCTCCCACACACCCCTACCATGGCCCCATGTGCACTCCACCCCCCAATATGGCTTCTCCACGTGCCCCACACACGTGCCCCTGCTCGCACCCTCTCTCTTTCTCACTGTTTCCCTCTCACACTTTGTCCTCTCTCTCTCGCTCTCTTTTTCTGCCTCTGTATATTTCTCTCCATCTCTATCTCTCTTCATCTCTATTTCTCTCTCTCTTTCTTTCAACCTTGCTTTCTCTGCCTCTGTCTCCTTTCCTTAATTTTCTCTTTTTTCATTCTTACTTTCACTGTCTCTCTCCGTCATTCTCTCTCTTTCTTTCTCTATCCTCTTTTTTCTCTCTCTCTCTCTCTCTCTCTCTCTCTCTCTCTCTCTCCCTGTCTTTCATCCTTGCTTTTTCTACCCCTATCTCTCTCTCTTTCTTACCTTCATTCATTCATTCATTCTTTCTTTCTCCCCCCAGTTTTGGAATGCCCGTGAAAAATCTCAGGATTTCAGAGCCTGATCAGGAGAAGGGCTTAATTCTGCTCACAAATCATGTCTGTTGACTAATAGGTGGGCCTTTCCTTGTATTTTCCTACTTGTTTGTGCTGTTTTTCTATAGACTTTGAGTTTTTATAATGATACCGTTAGAGGTACTACTCCCTATTTTCAGAGAGTTGATAAGGGATCTAGTGCAGTTCATTGGAAACAAAAGCAGATAAAAGAGAACACTAAAGTTTTTTATGAAGATATATATTATGAAAGGAACAGTAAGGCCAATTAGGGCCAAAAATCAAAATAATCTTTTGAAGGCAGAGAGTTGTCTGAGATA